CTGAGAGACCTTGCAGGTAGGATCTGGTCTCCCTCACCTGTCTGCCCCTGAGGACCCAACCCACAGCCGTGCACATGGCAAGGGACAACTGAGGAATTGTCAGACCAACAGCATCAGTGTCACCTGGTAACTCCTGAGAAATACAACCTAGCGGGTGTCTCACCCCAAATCTACGGAATCAAAAGCTCTTTTGCTATAACCAGTTCCGCAGTTGACTCTGGTGCAGGATAGTTTGAGAACCACTGCTCTTTACCACAGTGGTCTCTGGACCCCCAGAAAGTTCTGGGGAAGAAGCCAGAGGACAGAGCAAGGAGGGAGGCGGATGCAGAGCCCCAGCTGAGGCAGGGGAAGTGGCCACACCTCTCCAGGCCTGTTGTCACCCCTCAGTGCTGCTGGGTCCAGCAGTGGCTTCACACTTTGAAGACCCGAGCTTTACTTTGTCCATCACACTTGGATTGGCAAGGGCATCTTGGCCAGGGTCCCTTGGTCTGAGCCCCCAGCTCCAGGAGTGGAGGGTTGGCCCTGGGAGCCTAGGGAGCTCTAAAGCTGGAGGGGAGGCAATAGTTACCCACAGGCTGTGGGAGGAAAGCTCTTTGTGGGGTGGAGAGGCTGGGGACACATCTGCCTGGGGGTGCACGTGGCTCAGCTGGGGCTCCTGGCTGCAAGATGCGTAAAACTGACCAGAGGGCACTGGGGAAACTGGCTCATCATTGGAGGGAGCTCCACATAGCCCTCATACTCTGGCTTCAGCCAGGCAGAGGATACAGGGGGCCCATCAGCCATTCTAGCACAGAAGCTGGGGTTCTGGTCTGAGGGGAGGCCCAGAGGGGGAGCCTGGGAGGCAGACGGGGTCCCTGCGGGCCGGGTGAATGTCAGATCTGCAGTGGCGACAAAACTAGAGGCCACGACACCACCCCTAGGACCCCGAGAGCCAGTGGGCAAAACTGTGGGGGCCCTGTCCTCCGGGCCCTGACCGCCCACCTTTCGTCCAGGCTTGGCAGGGGCGGGGCGCGCCCCAGACTCCATGGAGGGACTCCCCTCGGCCCCGGGGCTGGACCTCCTCTCCACATCCCTGGCCTCGCCCTGCCCCATCACCTGGGCCAGCGGGACCAGCTGCACCTGCCCTCCTGGGGGCAGACACAGGTATTCCAGGGACCCTGGGGGCGGTGGCCTCCTGCTCACATCTGTCTGTGGGGGCACCTGCTGGCCCACGATGTCAGGCAGGGAGCGGCTGTGGGGCAGCCCGAGGTAGGGACCATTGAAGTCAAAGCAGGAAACCTGGCTCTCAGGCTGGCCTGAGGGGGCTGCCAGGCCTGCTGGAGGGCTGGGGGGCTGCTCCGCGGGGACATCCGAGGCGGCCAGAGTCATGGTAGTCTCACGTGACAAGTCACAAGCATCTTTAGGGTCCTCTGTGGTGAGAGGTGACACCTCACTGTGCCTGTAGTCCACGGGGGACACCCTGTGGGGAGAATAGGGGCATAGATGTCAGGACCATCCCTGGCAGATGCCTTAGCTCATGCCCAGGGGGCTGGGGGTGGGGGAGGCCCTGTCCCCGCCCCTGCCCAGGGTGGGGCCTCACAGAAAACACAGGGCAGGGCAAGAGGGGAGCAGGCCCAGAGCAGGAAACCAGGCGCTCCTTCAGCCTCCGAGGATCTCGTCCCCCAGCCCCCATGCTCTTTTTCAAGTCCGGCCTCCACCAGGTGTGGCCCTGCTCACCCTCTGCTCCTTGACATCACCCAGCTTCAGGGCCCAGGTCAGTGCCCGACCTGGGCTCAGCCATTTCCATGTCCTTCACCTCCCTCCCCTGAGGTTAGTGGTGAGCTGATGGCTCAGGTGCTGAGGCCATGGGGTTCCCAGAGCCTCCGCCACCCAGTAGGGCCAAGGCAGGGTGGGGTCTGCCTGGGCAGCAGGAAGAGGGGAGGCCATCTGGTCCAGTCTCCTGCCTCTGGTCAAGTGTGAGGTCAAGCCCTTGCTAACTTGGGAATCAGGAAGTTCTTCTCGATGTCTAACTGGGATACCTCTTGCTTTTGAGCCACCAGCCTCCATGGATCTCCTCATCCTGAACCCCAGTCCAAGGCCACCTCCTCTGAGCCCGTGATGTACAGGGTGAGTCCACCCTCCCAACTCCTAGGGATCCCAGGCCCCACACTCACTCGTCCAGCTCAGGGTAGCTGCTGCTCCACAGCCCCTTGTGTGGGCAGCTCCCGCTGGTGAGGATGGACATGTTGTCTGGGAGCCGGAGTCCTGCAGTCCCGTTCTGGGAAGAGAAAGGACATTTGTGACTTCAGGAGTCGGGGTGATGGAGAAGGTGCAGATGGGGGAAGGGTGATGAGGGTGGTGGAGATTCAGGAGCCCCCAGACACAGCAGAATCTCAGCATGAGCAGGACCGGCCACAGCCTCCTGACATCAGGGAGATGAGGCCAGAGAGGGGCTGGGACTCCCCCGGGGTCATGGGGTATCCAAGGACAGGGACCCTGTTCCCATGAGTAAGCTAGTCTGCAATATCTCTGCCTGCAACCTCACCTTCTCCACACTGGTCACCAGACGCTCTCAAGGCAGTTCCCGCCTTGCCTGCCTGACCCCAGGGCTCTGATTCCCTTTTGCTCCTGTTCCTGCCTCCTGAGATGCGCCCCCAGCCTCACTGCCCAGCCCTCTCAGTTCCCTTCCTGAGGGAGTCTTGTCTCCACCCTCCACATGCTTCCCTTCTGCGTGCAGCGACCTCTCCCTCCGGCCACCACCCTGGATCCTTCAAAGCTCAGCTCTACTGTCCTGCCCTCGGGAAGCCATTCTGCCTCCCAGCACCGCACCTGCCCCCTGGCAAGACTAAGCCCCTCCTTGGGCCCCCTGGGTCCTGGCATCCCCACACCAGCCATCTCTCCTGCTCCACGGGAGTCCCCTGGGCAGGGCGCCTCGTGCATCCATGAGACCCACGGGGTTGCAGCGCTGGGGCTGGGGCGCTGGGCTTGGAACAGCTACCCCGGCTCTAAGAGCTTCCCAGCCCTGCCCTCGGCACCTGCTCCCCTTACTCAAAGCCCAGAGGATGGGGAGGAGAACATACATGGGCGTGGGGATGTGGGCTCGGGGACATGAGTGCAGGAGCAGAGGCCCCCAGCACCTCTGCTGCCCTCACCACAGCTCCTACCTGAAACAGGTGGCTCTTGCTGGGGTTGGGGATTTTCTCTTCCCACTTCTGGTTCAGCCTGGAAAGACAGCAGGGAGGTGACAGCTGCCCTAGACCTTAGGAAGCTGCCTCGTGCTCATGAACAGAGGTGAAACGGAAGCCCAGGGTGAGGGCGGGATTTGTCCAAGGCCCCACAGAGTGTGGGTTGTAGAGCAGAGACCAGAGGAAATCTGCTGTAGGGTCTCTGGTGCCCCGTGGGGGTCCCGGGTGGTCCCTCCCCCTACGCATGGAGGAGTCCCCTTACCTGTACCCGTAGATGCCACAGAAGCGCAGGGCCGTGAGCAGGGTTAGGGTGACAAAGACCAGGATGAGTGCCAGGACCCACATGGGCAGCTCTTCCAGGGAGCCAGGAGGAAAAAGGAGGTTAGATTCTGGGGAGGGTAAGGGCTGGAGGCTCAGGAGGTCGGGGCAGGTGGGGCCAGGTCAGTGCTCTCCAGACCCTCTCTGTGCTTTAGAATTCATTTCCTTGAATGGGGCGGGACACGGAGGGTTAGATCCTGTTCAGTAGCAGGAGGTGCCATGGTGGGGAAGGGGCGACAAGCACTGACGGCAGCCCACGGCAGTCACGGGAGACTTCTTGAAGGAGGCTCCATATAGACAGGTGTCTAGGTACAGGGAGAACTAGAGAGGCAGAGATGGGGACAGGCCTGCTGGCAGAGGAAAGAGCAGGTACAAAGCCCATCAGGAGCTCCAACACTTCCTGCTTAGCCGCCTCAAGCCCCTCACAGGCTGAGGCCCCCAAGGACTCCCCTCTTCTCCCTTTCTTGGGCTCGGTGGTCCAGCCCTCCTTCCTGGTGGATCATAGCCTCCTTTCTGGGGCTCTGCCTCTACCAAGACTGGCTGTGGACTGGAGTCCTTGCTGTCAGCTCCTCCTCCATCCCCTCTGATAACACCTCCTAGACCAGGTCATGTACTTGTTCCTCGGTGGTCACTCTGGTAAAAGGTGAGAGATAAATGAAAATAGCAGTGCAGGGAAACAGGGAGATTAAGAAATCCAACGAGAACTTTTGAAGCTCAGACCCCGGCCTGTAGCTCTTTTGCTGCCATGGTAACAGGAAACTCAGGCTGAGTGTCTCTGGGGAGTGGCTGCCACAAAGGCTAATGAAACTGTGGGTCACATTAGTAGAGGCCTTTGCTCCAACTTGAGGGAGGTGAGACAGAAGAACCTGCTCTGCTCTGCTTCTCTGAGAGGCCATGTTGGGTCTGTGTTGCACATCAGGTGTGACTTCCCAAGGGTTGTCAATAAGTTAAGATGTATACAGAGAAAAAAGCGGGTTCCCCACAGGTAGGTGTGCAGGTTGTTCTCTGCACAGGGACACCATGTAAGTTCAAGTGGCAGGAATCCAACCTGAGGCACATATGCTGTGGCCGTGGGTCTGTGGAAGATGCATTTTCTAATTCCCACTAGTTTCTAGTTAGCTAGAAGGAAGGGAGCGCAGAGAAGAATAGCACTTGGGCATGGGGTCTCCATGTCCAACACATCCCCGTCCTCTGCCTAGCGGGACTGTACCAGGAGGGGTGGATGGGGGCCATGGAGACTTACCCCACTCAGTGTCCCAGGAGCGCTCCTCACTCCACTCGCTCCAGATCCCGTTGTAGCCGCTGGGGTTGGGTTTGACTCTCACTCTGGCCTGGTACCTGGTGGCGGGCTCCAGAGGTGGCAGGGGCATGTTGTGCGCATTCTGGAAGAGCTCCGTCTTGGTCTCCTGTGGGTGCAGGTGTGGGAGCAGGTGTGCTGAGGCTGAGGCAATGTGCCTGGCGCACGTGGGCACAGCTACAGAGCCCTCCCACCTCATCACCCCAGCTTTCCTGCTCCCCATCAGTCCCCCAGCTTGTAGTCATGTCCCCCAATCTGAGGCAACATGACTCCCACCATGGAGGACCACACTCCAGGGCCAAAGAAGGACAGCACTCGGATGGGCACAGAAACAGCCCCTCCTGCACTGCATCTCTGTGACATATGACATCACCGAGGTGCAGAAACTGTGAGGAGTCACCATGCCACCCTCCCCCTGCCACTTTGGGATCCCCTCAATCTCCCAGTTCCTCCTGGGGCAGCCTGGACCCCAATTATGGCCTTCCCAGGAGTGTGGTGCAGGATGACTGACCCTTAGATTTTCATGAGCCAGGGGACCACTCCCAGCTTCACCACTGACCCACCCTCTCCTGGCCTCAGTTTCCCCATTTCCAGCCTGAAAGTCTGAAGCTGGCTCTGAAGTTTCTGATCTGGGTTCTGTCGAGCCCCAGGTTCTGCATGCAGGCCCTGAGGGTGGGGGCCGGATACTGAACCCCAGGCTGAGCCCTGCCTGCCTCACCAGGAGCAGCTCTGCCCTTAGCAGCTGCACATTTGCATTCTGTGAAGAAATGTCCCCTTTATGACTTTTGAAAACCCTTCATCCAGCTGCCTCTCAGCCCTCCCCGTCCTGACATCTACGTCCCCTTTGCAGTCAGGGTCACATGTTCACCTTGGCCAAGTCACATCAGCTCTGTGAGTCTCAGCTCCTTCACCAAGGGATGGGATATTGACTGGCTGACTGCACGAGGGCATAACCACCAAGTCCCAGTGGTTCCCTCTGTCTGGTCACCTGCTGGGAGTCAGGCATCCAGCAGGTGGCACTGTTCTGGGTATTTCTCACCACCCCTTCTCCCCATCCAGGCCCCTCCCTGGGCACAGACCCTCACCTCCCATGTCTCTTCATCTTTCTTGTACTGGACCTGGAAGATGTGACTTATGAGTCCACTGTGAATTTTTTCATTTTTCAAGTGCAAGATGTAGCCATCTCTGCCCTTGGTCACGTTGAGGGTCGGGGGAGCCAACTGGACTGGAGGGAGAGAAATTTTAGGTAACAGCGCTCCTAACATTCCTCCCGTGGAACGTTCCTAGTGTTGCATGCTGGTCACAGGTGTTCTCTCCACAGACCCAGGACCCCACATCCCACCATCACGGGTCGCTGTGTGCCGACTTGGGGAAACAGCATCTATCACGGCCAGACCAGCTCCTCCCCGGGAGATGCAGGGATAAGCTGCTGTTCGCTGATCGGTAATGAGGTGGCTGGGTTGCTGGTTACTCATGGTCGTGAAAGTAGCGATGTTTGGCAATTTGTGCCTTTTACTTGAAATTAACCTAGGCTGAGTCAAACTCGTCACTTTGATAGCACCTGTCCCAGGCACCTGCCTTGAGAAGGAGAGGTAGGCAGAGCTTCAGGCCCTGGAAAGGTGCCCTTCTCCACCCACGGCTCCAGCCTGTCTTCTCTTGGCTGCTGCTCATGTGGGTTTGCCGGGCAAGGGACAGGCTCATGTCCACCAGAGACTGGACACAGGTGCAGACTGACCACCTTGAGGGAATTCAGAAGTGCTCACTGGAGACACACCATCCAGGCTCTGAGAGGCCCGTGCCTTCATTAGCACTGGACACAAGCCGGGCCATTGCGATAGCTCTGTGCTCACCCCTCCCTGAGGCTGACCCTCGGGCAGGATTTGGAGCTGCCTTGATGAAAAGACCAGAGAGAGGCTGTGGAAGGGTAAACAAAGGCCCCCGAAGGTACCCAGGTCCTGCCCCTGGAACTTGTTATTGTAAGTGGCAAAATGGACTCTTGCAGGTGTGACTGAGTTAAGGACCTTGTGATGGGGATGTTATATTTCATTATCCACTCCTTCCTTCTGCCCCACCTTCCCCACAGCATCCTCGGCCCCTCCCTTCCCCATCCCCACACAAGGAGGGTACATTGTGGTAGTGAGAGAGGGAGGAATTTGGGAGGAAGAGGAGGACGAAGGACAGAGAGCAGACAGGAGATGTGGAGAGGGCTGCTAATGTCGGGCAACGTCAGTACATTGATTCAACACATCTTGAGGGCCTACTGTGTGCCAGGTGCTGCTCTGGGCACAGGAACAGAGAGGGGAACAAGGCAAGGTCCCTGCATTGACAAAGCTGACAGGATAGATTAATACACGTCAGGTGGTGGTAAGTACCATGGGAAAGGAAAGTGGGGTAACTGGTAGACCCAGGATTTCAGCGTTGAGTGCTTTTTTCAATAAGCTTTCCAGAGAAGATGTCAGAGATTGTGACATTTGAGCAAAGGCCTGAAAGGGATGAGGAGGGAGCCTTATAAACTTGAGAGGATCAAAGGAAGCAGGAGCAAAGGCCCTGAGGCAGGAGTGTGCCCAGGGAGTCCCCCAGTGTGGAAGAGGCCACGAGGCTGCAGTAGGGAAAGAGCGAGAAGCAGGCGAGAGAGGCCTGTGGGCTGTGGCAGGGCCGTTGGTAGCTTCTCTGTGCAGGAGGGAACTCGCAGAAGGTTTGGGGTGTTGGAGGGGCATAATTTGATTATGTGTTAACAAAATCACACAGGCTGCTGATGGGAAAAGACTTAAGGGACAGCAAGGATGGGAGAGGGAGACCTTACTGCACTTAGATGAGCAGTAGACACGTGGCCTAATTCTAGGTGTGTTAAAAAGATAACAGTGACAGAATTCGCTGGGGGACTGGATGTGGCATTTGAGAGAAAGCTAAGACAAAGATTTCTGGCTTAAGCAACTGAAAAAGCCTATCATTCAGGGAGATGGGGAGGAAATGGGAAAGCAGGTTAGGAGGGACAACGAACATTCACTTTGGAGCATGTTTAGGTGTGAAATGACATTGTTCATCCACTGGAGACAGTGAGAGGGCAAGTGATACCAAGTGGTTCAGATCAAAATTCTCAAAACTCAGATGGAAAAAAGAACTCAGAGCAAAGAAGGGGGAAAGTATTTTCAGAACCGCAATGGTATGTTATCAACTTCATCATTTATATATATTTTTGAACACTTAAAATAAGCATTAGAATTACTCCTGTTCACATTGGGTTGCTGGATTGCACTTCATTGAAAATGAGAAATATGAAGACTGGGCCATGAGGAACCCTGAGTTTATACGGGTTACGAA